TAAAGTGAAAATAAATGTGAAAATAAGAATTTGTCACAGGGAAAATGAAAGTGAAAATAAAAATCTAATAAAGTAAAAATGTAAGAGAAAATAAATAAAATTTGTCAAAGTAAAAATAAAAGGAAAAGAAAAATCTATCAAACTAAAAATAAAAGTATAAAATTTATCATTTTCACTTTTATTTTTTTGCTTTCACTTTGATGAAATTTTTTCACCTGCATTTCTCTTTTACAGACATTTATTTTTTACTTTAAAGTTGATAAATTTTTGTTATCACTTTTGTTTTGAGGGAAACTGTAAATATAAGAATTTAACAAAATGAAAATAAAATCCCATCAAACTGAAAGTGAGAATTAAAAGTTTATTATTCAAATAAGAAAAATAAAAATTTATTAATGTGAAAATGGATGAGAAAGTAAAATAAATTTGTCAAAGTGAAAATAAAAATGAAAGAGAAAATTAAAATCTGTCCAAAGTGTAAGTAAAAATCTAGAAAAGTAAAAATGAAGGAAAAAAAATAAAAACTTATTAAAGTGAAAATGAAAATAAAATATAAATTAAAATTCATAAAAGTGAAAGTGAAAGTAAAAAAAATGTATCAAAACGAAAGTGAAAATGAAAATGAAAATAAAAGTCAAAGTAGAAATAAAATTACATAATCATCTCAAAGATTTTCCTGGAAACTTGTAAACATATTTACACACTTTATAAGCTCAGTTTAATTTAAAATTTAATTAATTTAATTTATCATCATTTTATAACTGATTCAGGGACCGTCACTGAATCAAAACAAAATTAAAAAATACTTTTGTTTTGATTCGGATATGGGTATCAGAATCAAAATTCCACTCTATTTAGTTCTGATTCCAATATCAAAATCAAAATTCCACTCTATTTCGTTTTGGTTCCAATATAAAAATCAAAATTCCACTCTATTTCGTTTTGGTTCCAATATCAAAATCAAAATTCCATTCTATTTCGTTTTGGTTCCAATATCAAAATCAAAATTCCATTCTATTTAGTTTTGATTACAATATCAAAATCAAAATTCTTTTTTGTTTTAATTTTGATAAAATACTACTGCGCATGTATAAGTCTCATTGAACCTAAATTTTGTTGCAAATGTCAAATATATCAGAAGATAATATCGTTTTTACATACTAAATCTGAAGTAGAATTCGAATCGACTTCTGTTTCTATAAGAAAACCGAATTCCAGTATTACAGTATCAGAATCAAAATAGGAAGTGAATTTTGTTTCGTTACAGAATCAAAATCAAAATAGAAAGTAAATTTTGTTTCGTTACAGTATCAGAATCAAAATAGGAAGTAAATTTTGTTTCGTTACAGAATCAAAATCAAAATACATTAATAATTTCGTTTTGTTTTGGAATATCGTAACGAAATCAAAATTTGATTTCCGTGACGGTCCCTGAACTGATTGGAACCTTTCATCACTTTGTGACTTAGAAATAGGAGCATATATATATACGAATGAATGGATGTCTTTGCGAGAGTACTTGTCAGTTATTTTGAATAAGATGAATAATCGTAATTTCTGTAAATTTTGAGCATGATGAAATGCAAGTTGCAGCAGCGTTACTCGAGACAAGAGATGATCATGCATGTCCACAGTGATAATTAGTGCCTAACTCGAGTTACGCTTTGGTTCTAATCAGAGTCTCAAACGGAAACTTCGTAACAACAACCTATGCCTAATCAACTATCTCAATTGGATGCTCTATTATGTTGATATTAATTTTACACTACGTGGTTAGATCTCAATCAAAGTACATAGTTATTATAGTGAGTTGAAATTCCATTTGAACTGTTTCAACAAATATGTATTCGTCTATATGAGTATATATGTATATATATATGCATGTATTATATGCACATTCCAAAAGTTTACTCCATTAAAAGTTACCTTTTCAGGTTATATTCAAAATATATAGTATATTAATAATGAGTTTTGTATTTATTATTTTTTTTTTCAATAAAATTTAGAGAATTTAATGTTGAAGAGGAATTGACATTTTTTTTTTATTTTTTGATAGAGAAAAGAATTTATGGAATTTAGAAATATTTAATTAAAAAAATGCGTTAAAATTCTATGCGTGTGGGTTATTGAAACTTATCTTCTGGTAATATTGAGTTCGATAATGTCGAAAAATGAGAAAGAAGGTCAATATAAAATTCAGTTAATGAACTCTTAATTACTTTAATGAAAATTAATTTATTTGTAAAAATATCCAACGTTGGGAATTCTTTTATTTAATTTTTAGTTTCATTCTGAAAAAATTTCATTGAGAATAAAAATAATTGACGTTATTTTTATTTTCATTGCAATTTTTTTGTATTTAGAAGTCTATAAATTATTTATTTACTTATTTTTTTCTCCTTTATTTATATACTTATTTGTTTGCATATTTATTTAACGATTTGTTTACTTATTTATTTACTTAATTGTGTATTTATTTATTCAATTATTTATTTGATTAATTATTTTTATTATTTTTATTTTTTATTATTTTTTTATTTATACTTTTTTCATTATACCTATTTGTTTATTTATTTACATATTTTTTTAAAATATTTATTTGTTCACTTATTTGTTTATCTATTTATTCATTCACCTATTTATTTGAATAGTTATTTATTTTTACATATTTATTTGATACTTATTCTTTTTTTTCTAATTTTACAATTTAGCAAATTTGATAAACATCACTGTTTAAAATTTTTTAATTACAATTTTGTTTATGATAATATTTTAATTTTTTTTAATGTTATTTTCAATTTCATATTTACTTTTTATTTACAATGTTTTTAACAATTTTGTTTTCAATTTTGTTTATAATATTGTTCTTAATTTAATTTTCAAATGTATTTTCATTTTTTAATTGTGTTTACAACGTTGTTTTTATTGTTTTATTTTAATTTTGATTACAATTTTGCTCTTAGTTTTTGTTTACAATGTTTTTTTTTAATTTTGTTGAAAATTTTTTCACAATTTTATTTACAATTTTCACTAAAACTTTGTTTACAATATTGTTTTCAATTATGTTGAAAATTTTCAATCACAATTATGATATGATAATATTTTTAATTTTTTTCTCGTTTTTATTTTTGAATTCACTTTTGTTTACAATACTTTTTACAATCATGTTTTCAATTTTATTTCAAATATTGTTCTCAATTTTATTTTCCAATATGTTTTTATTTCTCAATTCTGTTTACAATTTTGTTTTCAATTTTTGTTTTTAATTTTTTGTTTGCAACGTTGTTCTTAGTTATCTTTACAAATTTATTTAATTTTTTTCTAAAACATGTTTCTATAGTTTTTTCACGATTTTGATTAAAACTTTATTAACAATGTTGTCTTCAATTTTATTTAGAATATTTATTCTCAATTTGATTTACAATGTTGTTTACAATGCTGTTCTGGGTTTTGTTTATACAATATTTTTTTTTAATTATGCGATTTCAATCTTCCAAAAAATTTTTTTCACAATTTTGATTAAAATTTATTTTTGTGCGTTGTCTTTAATTTTTTACAACTTTATCTATTATGTTGTATTCAATTTTGTTTACAATGTTTTTTCTTTTTTTAGTTTTCTTTTTTTTTTTTTAATATGATCTTAATTTTGTTTACAAAGTTTTAATTTTGTTTAAAATGTTCTCCTCAATATTGTTTTTCATTTTTAAAAATATACAACGTATACAACGTTGTTTTCAAAATTTACAATCTTTCTACTATTTTATTCTAAATTTTGGTTAAAATTTTAGGTGTGATATATTGTTTCCATTTTTGTTTACAATTTTGTTTTCAATTTTGTTCACAATGTTGTTCTGAAATTTTTTTTACAATTTTTGTTCAGAATTTTGATTAAAATGTAGTTTTTGGTGTTGTCTTCAATTTTAAAATGTTGTCCTCAATATTATTTTTCATTTTTTTTACAAAATATTATTTTTAATATTCTATACAACGTTGTTTTTAATTTTATTTACAATATTTAATATATACAATATTTGCATTTTTGTTTATAATTTTGTTTTCAATTTTGTTCATAATGTTGTTCTAAATTTTTTTCAATTTTTTTTCACAATTCTTATACAGAATTTTAATTAAAATTTTGTTTAATAAATTGTTTTTAGTTTTCTCTACACGTTTTTCAATTATGCTTTTAATTTTCTTTACAACTTCTTAATTTTGTTTAAAATGTTATTCTCAATATTGTTTTCTATTTTGTTTCGAATCTTATTTTTAATATTGTTTGCAAAGTTGCAAGTTTGCAAAGTTGTTCTCAATTTTTTTTTACTATCTTTCTACAATGTTATTCTCAATTTTGGTTAAAATTTTGTGTTCGATGTTGTTTGCAATTCTATTTACAATGTTGTTTACAATGTTCGGAATATTTTTACCAATTTTGATTAGAATTTCGTCTATAATTTTGATCATAAATTTTCCTATATTTTAAATTTTTCATGAATAGTTAAAATATATAATATTTTGTTTATGTTTTTAATAGATTATCGGAAGAGTGATAAATGAAACACTTATTTCACTTGTGCAACATTTCGGTATCTTGGTTTAACACCATCATCAGAACACTTTATTTTAACAATGAAAAATAACAATTTATTTTTACGAATAAAAATAAATTATATTAAACTTACTATAGATCAAATGCGAGCAAAAAAAAAATTAAAAAACAAACAAAGTACAACGACGGAAGAAAATAAACGATTATTACATATAAATTTTTTCCAGTCGCAAAGAAATAGAGAAAATCGTAACTTTTAATTCTGAAAAATGTAAAGAAGAAACTATAATTGGTAATTATTTGAAGATTATAATAATAATACAAACAATAGAAGGAGAAAATCCTCTTCTCTCCCCTCCCCCCACACTCTCGCCACCTTTTCTCTATTTAACACATACTAACATATCTCTCAGCATATATCATCCCACTAGGGAACTAACCATGAATGTTGCAGACCAACAACAGTATATGTGACTACAAAGAGCACTATCAGCAACACCAGCAACAGGAAATGCAACAATACGGCTATCCAATGCCGAGCAACAGTTCCAGCCAACTAACTCTGCCAATAGCACGAAGCCTCTATCATTCCTCCGTAGTCAGTCCCCTGCAGACATCCTACGTTCAAACTAACAATCGTCATTCCTTAATGCATCCCGATGGCAGTGCCAGTGTTCCCCTATCCCTTGTTCATGGGGACGATCTCGATCTCACTTACGATCGTCAATTAACAAATTCATCGTCAACCGGTCGACGTAATGATCGTCGGAAATATCGCAAGCATGGAAGGGGCGATCGTAAGCAAAAAAGAAGAGGAGACTCGCGTCGCGCCGCCAATGAAAATCACAGTGAAACGAGTTTTAATCGTGTACAAGAATTGGGCATACCGGAGAGTTATAAAATATCGTATCCACATTATTATGAGGATGCGATAACGGAATGTCCGCCCGATTATCCGAGGCCAAATTTAATCACGCAACAATCGCAGCGTGATTTTGATGTTAATCGTTATCCGGGTAATGGTGGGACTGGTAATATGCATTACGCGGATTTAAGTTTAACTAAAAATAGAAATAAGGCGACGAAGAGGTATTCAACGAGTACGAGAGACGCTCGTTCGCCGTCGATGCCTTCGATCACCCAGTACGCTGAACTAAACTTGCGCGATGTCGGTCAGGAGATCGATGTTTAAAGGTATGTCATATATGCCAGCTTCCATTTTTTATATTTTTGCTTTTGGTTCAATTTTTTCTGACAGTGGAGTTCTTTTTGTTTTTTTAACACTGTGTTTCCATTTTAATTTAATTTAATTTTAATTGTTTTAATAAATAATTTTTTCGGTTTTTAATTTCGATATTTTTTCTGTAGAAGATATTTTTTAATTTAGTTCTTCTTCTTTTTTTCATTTCAGTTAATTAGAATTTTTCTTCATTTAACAGGGTTGCTACGCCACCTGAAAACCTGGAAATGTCAGGGAATTTTATAAACCTTGAAAAAACCTAAAAAGAAAGTCAGGGAATTTTGATCGAAATACTCGAAAATTGTTTTCTAAAATTTATTCTTGAAATCTAATTTCAAAATTAATTCAATTTTAAAAGAATTGCGTTCACAATTTTCAAAAGTAGATGAACTTCAAAAGATTTTGATTTAAAATTTTATAAAATTTCAATTTTAATTGAATTTAATTAACAATACAAAAAAACTTAGATTTAAAGAAAAAAAATTTTAACTAAAATTCTTCTTAAATCAGTTAAATTTTTTTAAATATAGGTATTTAATTGATTATTAAAAATAATGGATTTATAGAAGAATTCTAGTTAAAATCACTAAAACAAATTATGATAACAAATTTAATTTTGAAGCAATTACAAATGATTGCAGAAATTCAATTATTTTCAAAAGTAGTAAAATTCTTCTGAGAAATTTAATTATTTTCAAAAATTTTCATAAAATTCTTGGAAAAATTTCAATTATTTCAATAATTCAAAATTCTTCTCAGAAATTCAATTATTTTCAAAAATGTTCATAAAATTCTTGGCAAAATTGTAATTATTTTCAAAAACTTTCCTCAATTCAGTTTATTTTAGAAGTATAGTAAAATTCTTCTCAGAAATTCAATTTTTTTCAAAATAATTTTAATAAAATTCTTCGCAAAAATCTAATTATGTTTAAAAATTAACAAAAATTCTTGGCAAAACTTCAATTATCTTTATAAATAATAAAATTTTTCTTTAAAATTCAATTATTTTCAAAACTTTTAGTAAAATTCTTGTCAGAATTTTAATTATTTTTAAATCAATTTTAATTAAATTTCTTTTTTAAAGAATACAATTATTTTTAAAAATTTTAATGCAATTCATTTTTTTCAAAATAATTTTAATAAAATTCTTCGCAGAAATCTAATTATGTTTAAAAATTTACAAAAATTCTTATCAAAATTTCAATTTTCTTTATAAATAATAAAATTTTTCTTTAAAATTCAATTATTTTCAAAACTTTTAATAAAATTCTTGTCAGAATTTTAATTATTTTTAAATCAATTTTAATTAAATTTCTTTAAAGAATAAAATTATTTCTAAAAATTTTAATGCAATTCTTTACGTAACAATTCATTTTTTTCAAAATAATTTTAATAAAATTCTTCGCAGAAATCTAATTATGTTTAATAATTAACAAAAATTCTTATCAAAATTTCAATTTTCTTTATAAATAATAATATTTTTCTTTGAAATTCAATTATTTTCCAAACTTTTAATAAAATTCTTGTCAGAATTTTAATTATTTTTAAATCAATTTTAATTAAATTTCTTTAAAGAATAAAATTACTTCCAAAAATTGTAATGAAATTCTTTGCGTAACAATTCAATTTTTTTCAAAATAATTTTAATAAAATTCTTCGCAAAAATCCAATTGTGTTTAAAAATTTACAAAAATTCTTGTCAAAATTTGAATTTTCTTTATAAATAATAAAATTTTCCTCTGAAATTCAATTATTTTCAAAACTTTTAATAAAATTCTTGGTAGAATTTTAATTATTTTTAATACAATTTTCATAAAATTTCTCAAAAAATGCAATTATTTTTAAAGATTTTATTAAAATTTGTCAAGAGAATTCAATTATTTAAAAATTTGTTGATAAAATTCTTCATGAAAATTTAATTTTAAGGAACATTCAATTGTTTAATAAAATATTTATTTTAATAATTAAATAATTGAATTCTCGAAAAATTTTCTAATAAATATTGATATAGAAATGAATTTCAAATTAAAATCTTTGGAAATTTGAACTTTTCATACTTTTAATTAAGAATTCTGTAGAATTAATTTTTCTCCATAAGTTTAATGAAATTTTTTTTAATTATTTGAAGTTTTTAATTTCTATAATATTTAATTAAATAATGTCAGAATAATCGAAACTTCGAAAAATTAAATTTTAAACAAAAGAATTTAAAAAATTCACAAAAGACTTTTTCTAAAATTAGTTTAAAAAAATTGACTTAAAGAAGAATTTTAGTTGAAAATTCTAGAAGTTAATAATCGTAATGATGAAAATAATTTTTGAAGAAGTTACAGTAACAAATTTATAAGTTTTAATTATTATAAAACATGACTCTGAGTCGAAGACTCAGATTGATCGATTTCTTCATGTTTCATAATAATATTCTTATGTTATTGAATTTCAAATTTTTTAATATCTTAATTCCTATAAAAAAAAAATTATTAAATTTTTTTTTTAATAATTAAGTTATTGATATTTCGAATAATTTTCGTTTTAAAAACCTGGAAAAATTCTGTGTTTTAACCTGGAAAAGTCAGGAAATTTGAAAAGAGCAAAAGCGTGGCAACCCTGTTTAATTTTTTTTACTTCACATTTTTTTAAACCTTTTAGTCACACTGTTAGGATAATAATCAAAAAAGTGTGAAAGTTATTTTAAATATACTTTCTTAGGGTCATTAAAGACGAATCCAAAGTCAAATTTGCAAAATTCAAAATAGCGAATACAACAATATCAAACTCAAACATTTTGTTTAGTATTAAACTGAAACTATCAGAATAATAGCGGAAAAATTAAATGTAAGGTACATTTTTATAAATTAAAAACATTCGTAAATTCCTTTTTTTTAATTGAAACGTTTGGGAGAGTTAAAAATATTTTTTACCACTTTCCTTAATTAATATCATTCTATTTATTTTCGAATAAATTCTTTCATTTTAAAAAATGAAAAATAATAAAAAAAAAAAATAATGACAAATATAAAAATGATATTTATGTTCTTTACTTATCTTAATTAAATACAATCATAATCATATTTTAATTACATTGTAATTATTGTAAAAAGTTTAAAAACCTGGAAATTTTTTTTTTTTTTTTTTTTTTTTTTTTTTTTATTTTTTTATTTTTTTATTTTTTTTTTTTTTTTATTTTTTTTTTTTTAGTTTTTTTTTTTAACTACTAAATAAAGGTGAAATTGCAATATAGCAACAAGAAAGAAATCCAATGATAAGAGAAGTTTTTTTCCACAATCGAGCAATAGGAAGCAGAAATTAGCATTTCACAGTAATTTGAGTTGAAAGTCTATTTAAGCAACAAGCTTTACCTGATAAACCTCATTCACTCTACTTGATTTTAGAAAATCGATCGTAACACAGAATTGTATTACACCTCCCTAAAGCTCACAGGCAGTACACGTCGATGTAATACTGCTTTTAAAATCATTATCGCACTGCTTTTATTTTACCATTTATTACCCTTCATTTTTATTACACTTACACATGAAACCAACGAAATCTCAAAATCAATACAATGTCCTTCTAAAATTATCATTTTACCTTATTGTCAATAATAATAATAATAATAGAAATAATAAATACTCTCATCAATTTTGTACTGCAAACACCTCAAATAATTGAATCACTTATTCCATAAATATTTATTAAAAAAGGAAATTTTAATTTTTATTGTAAATAAAAATAAATTCATTTTACTGCACTGCTGTGTAGAATAATTAATGTTTAACATAAAATGCAAAAATATTCAATAATGAAAAGTATTATTGGTTAATAATTGGATTGAAATGATATTTAATTTGATTAATTTTCAAAAATAACGAAAATATTAATAAAATCAAAATAATACTTATAGCTAATTAATTTCTCAAATACAAATTTTCGAACAAACTTTACCAAAACTCAAAAGCCTCGATAAATAATTAAATAATAAAATAATTAAATAAATAATCAAAAATTGTAAATTTTAATGTAAAAATTTCTATTTCTATACTATACATATCTCTATTTTTTTCAATACTTACAAAAACAAATTTTCAAATATCACAATGTGATAATTAATCATATTAGGATATTCAATAATAATGGTAATAAAAATAATCAGATAAAAATTAAATTAAGCATAGAACCATTATAATAGTGAATTAATTGTGTCTCACAATTTGTTCATAGGAGGGTCCACGAAAAATGAGCAACACGTATATTTACTAGAAGAAGTTGCCATCTCTCTAAACCTGTAGGTACATCATTATTATGAAGTTCTATATTAATTTGATTGGTAATATTATCCTTATACCTGCCTTAGAGTTGACTATTTAAAACGAATTTTTCAAATATCATGAAAAATGAAGTAGATGCTTTCGAATTTGATCCACTTATCCTGAAATAATTAATTAACTTACAAATAAATAATAATAATAATAATAAAAACTAATAATAATAAATTAAGGTCATTAATAATATAAATAAATCTTTTACTTTCTTTTAGTTTATTTCTATAATAATTTTAAATAGTTTTTTAAATATATTTTTAATTATAATTTTATTATTAATTTTTAGTTTATAAAAATAACAATTATTACTATTATCATTACTATTTATTATTATTTTTTTATTACTATTATTACTAATATTTTTAAAAATTTTCCAAGTAAACGTGAAGTTAGAGTGAAGTGAAAACAAAGTAAAGTGAAAGTGAAGTGACGAAAAAGAGAGAAAGTGAAGTAAAAATGAAATGAAAGTGAAAGTGATTTAAAAGAGAAGTGAAAGTGACTTTAAAGTGAACTAAGTGTGATTTGAAAGTGAAGTGACACTAAAGTGAGAGTAAAAGTGATTCAAAAGTGACTTTAAAGTTTAAAGTGAAGAAAGCGTGATTTAAAACTTTAAAAGTGAAGTGCGAAAAAAG